TGGAGAGGTCTCATTCCAGTACATACTCTTATTAGAGAAGCATAGGTGGCTATATTTTCTGAATTCAGGAAATAGATAACCATATGCACTTAACATTGTATTCTGTAAACATTAAATAGTGCCAATTATAAGATTTCCCAGTTCTTACTAAATTGTGTTAATAGGAGCTGGTAATTTCTTTACTTGGTCATCACATCTAACTATAAATTTGAATATACTTGAATGACAGTGTTGATGTCAGGTATTTTCATTGGAAGGTACCAGTATTATTAAGCTGCATATATATTCAATAACGGCCATATACAAATTTACTTTTTCAATGTCCAGTTGTGTGTCATATGCACATATTCTGCATTTTCCAGATTATCTTAATGTATTTCATGAATCAGTTTTGCTTTCTAAAATAAATACAGATTTATTCAAATTTTTCTGTATCAGCTAGTAGAAATACCCAATTTTTATTGTAGGTCCTTCATCTACTGTGCATCATTCTCTGCTTGGATTTCCATGATTCTGCTTAGCTAGAATACAGTAGGGAATTATTAGTTGCATTCTTAAAATGTGTTCTTGTCATAATAAAGTCATTGCTATTTCATTTTTGTAAACCAGGACGTGCAGATATTAGTAAATAGCATTAATTACCTATTGTGTTTCTGTTTATTTCTTAATTTACATTTTCAGTGAGCTCTGGAAAATATAGCATGGATTTGAACTATAAAAGTTAGTCTGATTGAGTTTCATTGATATTTTTTTCCCCATATTTTGTTTCAAATGAGGAAAATGTATCAAACTGTAAAAACCCTGTTATTTAGTCTGTATTATTTTTAAATAGTTACACTTGGATTATTTTAGCCATAAATTGGGGTATGATGAGATCATAAAATTTGTGAATACTGGAAATAAATCTAACATAGAAGGCAATATGGGAAAATTTTCCACAAATCAGCATTTGTAGAACTTAGGTATTTTGTTGTATTTTATTTGTTTTCTTTAAGAAAACCCAGAGACCAAGTAAGAAAATAATAGCAGTTTTATTTCTATGATTTCCATGTTATGTGAAGATACATTTATTTCTTTAGTGGAGACCTACTTCATATTAATATTCAAAAATTTTATATCCTAATCACCATTTTTTTAAGGTAAAGTGTATCTTCTTTATCCGAACTTTAAAGATGTTGTTTCCAATCACTAAAGATGAGAACCAAGCAAATACATTTCAACAATATCAAAACATTGAACAGTGTTAATATTTTTTCAGATATAAAAAGAAAACGTTTCTTAGCGGTGAAATTGATTTTGAAACAAATTTCAAATACGTTTGTATATAGAAAATACCTGTAGTAGGTAAAGAAAATACAAAACTTTTATTTTAGAACTAATTGAGAAATGCCAAAGATGAATCCACCACTGCATTATGAAAATATTTAAGTGTTCGCTTGGACTTTATATAAATTTTAATAGATTAGAATTGAAAAATATCTTTGGAAGGTCTTTGGGAAAAGTGTTCAATCTCTACAGAGTATCAATTTTAACCTAAAATATTTTAAGATTAAAAAACTTGAATTTCTCAGATACTTGATGTGGTTCATGACAATCTGTTAACCTGTTAACATTTTTTTTTTAAGGAAGCAATGTGCAAAACAGGGCAGCTAATCACACAATAAAATTGGAATTTAAATAATTTGACTCTTTGAAAAATAGAATAGCAGTGTTGGAATTTGGGGGCAGTAGTTTAGCATATTCTCTAGTATAATTATACCTTTAAAAAATGAAGGAATTTCTTCAATCATATTTTAGGGCTGTATCTATACATAGTCTTGACATCAGTGTAGTTTATTTAAAAGATAAGAATGCATTCTGAAAGGGGTCATTTATTAATAACAATCTGAAGTTGTTTTTCGTAAAACAAATGTTTTAGTTGTACATGTGACTAATTTTTTTTTCAAGTACATAACAAAATTCTAAATGTCTTGTATAGAGTATGTGAGTAATTTATTTTGTATCAGGAATGTTTTGGTACTGTGTTGTCACTCAAACCACTAACTTATCAACAGATAACTGTGTAATGTGTGCTGAATGTTACAATATTGTGCAAAACAGATTGTGCCTCTTAAATGTGTGTGTACAGATAATTCATGTTTTAATGTAAATAAATACCATTTTGCAGTTTGTTTTTTAAACTGTGTACTTTATTTTCTATTAAGAACTAGACTAAAACACAGTTTTGATGTGTATAAATTCAAAAGTTGGATAGAGGTGGTCTGATGCTAATGGTGTCCCTCAACCTCAGTCTCAATGTCTCATTCCAGAAATGTACATTTTCCTGCTTCTGTCTCTGGGTTTTCTAATAAGAGTTTTTGCTTATTTCCCTAATTTAGGAAAGAGAGTTCCTGCATCATATGAACAGTGTCTTTTGAATTCTGAATATGAGTTCATTGCTTAAGAATGTAATGAAGCCACAAACTGAGCTAATTAGTTAGGTAATAATTTTACAAAAATAGGATGTTGTAATTATAAAAAGTAATTTTCTAACAGAGTTTGTGTTATTCTTTGGATAACTGATGCTTTTTAAATTATCCTTATAAGATGATAGTCCCAATCCCTTCCGGGACTAGTTCCTGTGATTTCTTCATACTTATTTAAATTACCTTACTGAGAAACTCAAACAAACAAGGAAATATAATGATACTTACATATTTATTTTACTTAACAAACAAAAATACAGTGCCTATTTTAGGTAGGCAGCCTCTAATTTGGATGGCTCCCAGTAACACCCCACCTTCTGGTATCCATCCCCACAAGATACCAAAAATATCCATCTTCCCTTGAGTTTGAGTGAGATTTAATAACTCTGCTAATGAATGACATGGCAGAAGTGTGGGGATATCTCTTCCAAAACTGAGTTTTTAAAAAAAGACTCCTGTCTTAGGTGTTTCCTCTTGCTGCTGGCTACCTCTCTCTTGGAATTCCAACTGTCATGTAAAGTTCAGCCTGTTCTGTTGGTAAATACTGGTAAAGAAAAGGCCCTAGGAAGAGGCATTCCCACTGACAGCCAGCACCAATTCACAGCTCCTTAAAAGATTTAATGCTAGTCAAGGCTTAGGTGTTGCAGCCATAATTGAAAATGTGAATGTAACTTCATCAGAGATCTTAAGCCAGAAACATCCATTAGTTAGGTGACTTCCTGATTCTTTACCCACAAAAACACTCATTTTTGTTTTAAAGTACTAAATTTTGAATAATTTTGCCCAGCAATAGAGAATAGAACTCTTAATAGGAACCAGGACATTGCTCCAAATGTTTTACTAATATTAACCAATTTAGTTTCGTCCTCCAAGCAAACATGAGTAGGTGTTGTATCCCCAATTTCAAATGGGGCAATTAAGGCACAAATGTATCAGGTAAACTTTCCAGGTTTATGCAGCTAATAAATTGGCAGTATCAGTATCCCAAACCAGTCCATGCTCAGCCCCAATGTTGTGCTGCCTTATGTGATGACAGAAACCTCTGAAAAATAAAATCTAGAAAAGTGGGACTAGAGGGAAAGCTGGAAGGAGCTAGAAGATCTGCCCTCACCCCTTCTTCCTCACCTTTGTTTGATCTAACTGGAAACATGCATCATTGAGAATCATGCCTCACTGTAATCTCCAGTTATCCCAATGTTGTTGTCCATTGAACAGACCTTCATAAACATTGGCTTAGTTTTATTTTTATTTACATAATAGTGTATCTTATGATGTGATTTTGTAAACATGAGATGTTACTCAATGTTTTCTATATGGCAGACACTGTTCTAATGATTATGTATTATATATACTATATTATATAATATTTAGTTTTCCAAACAACTTCAGAAGTACATAAAATGATTACTCCCAAATAAGCACAGAGAAGTTAACTTGCCCAAGTTTGTACAAGTCTAAAGTGTTTGAGTAGAGGTTTAATAAAGGTACCCCCATCTCAAGACCCTGAACCCTTAACCACTGTAATATTTTCATATTTTAACTGTTTTTATTCCTTTTTCCTGAAAGAAGGCCCTCTGGATCAAGTAGAACTATTTATAATTTGTATGCATATTTTAAAACAACATTAAATCTTCTTAACCATTAAGTTTGATATCAAACTGTTTAAAAATAGATGTAATTGCCACTACTCCATCGACCTATGAAAATGATTATTATATATGGTTCAAGCTAATACTATATATAAAGAAGCATAGCAGCCCCATCCCAATATTTAATTTAATTTACTATACCTACAATATTATTGTTTCAATTTCCTCCCCCATTCTTGAGTTACAGACTCTTGTTTCTTGTAGGAATGAGACATTGGTGGAAAAATGGAGTCACGTGGACTAGATTTTGAATCTTATTGCCTAAGATTCTCTTGGAAGCTTAGTGTCATTTTTGGTGAAATTGGTAGATAATATGCTGTTCAGTAAGGACTGAAAGTAGCAAATATTTCAAATGTCTTCAAATGTCTGGCATTGAGGACTATCAGTAATAAATATTCCTCTTGTCTTCAAAGTAGTTCATGCTGTTTAGGATTTTCTTTCTATCTGATAAGGTAGATATTACATATTGAGATTATATTCTTAATCTATTTTAAAGTTACAATCTTTGAACAAATTAGATAATCATGGAGTAAACTTTTTTCTTAAATACAAATGTATGACTTCTTTGTAACCTAATCATTTTGAGTACCCTGTACTTTGTTTCAAGTATACTTCATTGATTAGCAAGCTTAATGTGGACAATTGGATTATAATGTGGAAATGAGAATAAAATAATAATTTCTCAAAACACAATGAACTCGGGGCTGGGGATGTGGCTCAAGCGGTATCGCACTCGCCTGGCATGCGTGCCGCCCGGGTTCGATCCTCAGCACCACATACCAACAAAGATGTTGTGTCCGCCGAGAACTAGAAAATGAATATTAAAAATTTTCTCTCTCCTCTCTCACTCTCTCTTTAAAAAAAAAAAACACACAATGAACTCATCTTTGAATAATTTTGACTATTAGTCATTTTTAATAATTTTAGTTTTGTTTAACTCTTAAATATCATATGTAACAATATATAATAATACTGAACCAATACTCAGATTAAAAAACAGAATACAGCTATTATCCCAGGAGCTTACTTTACAGACTCCATCACTACCCCCTCAAACACACACACACCAAGGATAACTAATATCCAAAATTTCAATATTATAGATTAATTTTTTTGGTTTTGATTTTAACTTTAACATAAATAGAATCATAGAACCATACAATGTTATTTCTTTGTACCTAGCCTCATTGATTCAGCATTATGTTTGTGAGATCCATCGTATCTGCGGCTGTCATACATTCATCCCATGACTACACAAAGTTCCGCCATTTATGCAGGCTACTGTTGATGTCACCTTAGATTTTTAAATTGTGCAGCTTCTCTGATTTATTAAAACTATAGGAAAAGAGAGGCACTATGGGGCTAGGGTTGTGGCTCAGTGGTAGAGCATCTGCCTGGCATGTGTGAGGTACTGTGTTTGATCCTCAGCACCTAATAAAAAAAATAGATAAATAAAGGTTGTCCATCTACAATAAAATATATTTAAAAAAGAGAGGCACTATGGTATGAATTTGTCCCCCAAAGTTCATAGGATGGAAAAAATCCCAATCAACAGTGTTGAGAGGTTGAGACTTTTAAGGGTGATTCACTCATGAGGGTTCTGCCCTCATGAATGGATCAGTACCATTATCACAGGAGTGAGTCCTAATGAAAACATGATTTCAGCCTACTTCCCTTTTCTGACTCTATCTCTTCTCTTTTAAAGTCTTCTACAATGAAATGGTAGAGCAAGAGGGCCTTTGCCAGATATGAACCCTCAATATTGGAGTTTCCAGAACTATAACCTAAATAAATTTCTGTTCTTTGTAATTTACCCAGTGTGTGATATTCTGTTAAAGCAATACATAATGAACTAAAACAAAAGCTAAAACAAGTTTTAACGGTATTTCTGAAATGCCCTTAATGGATTCTAAATAAATATTTATTCAGCATTTATAAATTACATCAAGGATTGTAAAGCCAGGACAATATTTCAAATATCTTACATTCTATTAGAAGGAGATTTAGTTAATATTTAGTTTTATAGATTAAGGCAATTTTTTCATAAATACCCTTAGGAAATGAAGCAAATATATATATATAGGGTTGCATAGAAAGGAAAAAGGGGAAGACAAAGAAATGGTTGATGGCCTTAGCAAACATGTTAAATAATTGTTTAAAATCATGTTGAAAATGCCACTGAAGTTTGATCACTTCAAATCTGAAGGGCAATTCAGACACAATGTTGATTTTATTCCAAAAATCTGAATTAAAAATTCCTTCAAAATATGATTTGTACTATAAGTCAACAATATTATCACAAATGTATACCAGCTGATAAATATCTTTCTGAGGTTGATCCAGATATTCCATAGAAAATAGATATTTTTTAGGCAAATAGTAAAAATTCTACAAAATGTTTTCAAATAAATCAGACCATAAAATTCAGTTAAGATATAATTATCAAAAAATTGCCCTTTCTTTAAACCTAAAAGCAGCTCAACTTTTCTTTGATTCCTCCATCATTTTATAAACTATACAATAATTCAACACACACATATACATACTCTAATACCCAAGTTCATTATTCTATAAAAACATTTGCTGGGCTTGAGCAATATGAAAGGGTCTATGCTAGGACCTATCATATAAAGAAGAATAAAACTGAGCACCTGCCTCAAGTAGCTTTTTTTAAAAGGGGACAGACAAGAAGTAGAGTAGAGCCCACCACTACCATGATAAAGATATGCACAAGAGGTAAGTAAGGGCACAGATGAGGGGCACTCAGATCAGACTGGAAGGCAAATGAAGATGAGTGGTCCTGCACTAAGGAAGTTACTCCTGAGATACTTAGCCCATGGGGAAATGCAGAGAAAGCAGGCATGAACAAAGTGAGAAGCCTGAATGCAGTGCCTGATGGTGAGAAATTGGGGCGTCTGTTAGTGTATGTGCCAACTCACAGTCAGGAACTTGCCTTTGAGCATTCCTCCCCCATCCTTATTTTTTCAATACTAATGCTGAACAGTTGTTCTATTCAGTATCATCAATACCCAGTTAAAGTAATTGATCTTTTGTCCCCAAGTCTTGTGTCATTCCAGCTTCTGTTGTCATTCGAAAGAAGAGTCCTTTCTGGTGTATCAGATTCTGTGGTGCCCCAAATTCTATAATCCTTCCAGAATCTAGAACAAGCACTCTGAAATAAGAAGAAAACCAGTTAAATAACCTGCAATCAGGTTTTCTGATCTTAGAAAGGTAAGATTTTTAAATTATCATATGAATTAGAATAAATACAATAAAAAAGTTTTAAAAAACAAATTACCATATGAATAATTTCATTCCAAAAAAAATATAGATACTAATTAACTCGAGAAATAAATCAAGTTTTCTAATATTCTTCTAGCACTAGAGTTTTCCTCTAATTTGGAAAAGATCTTCTATATCATATGGGGAAATATAGTATTTCTAACACAGGTAAACTTTCTTATTAGAGGCAAACAATTAATGTGTTTCCTATAGATATTGTTTATTTTTTGAAAACAAAGCATACCTGTCTGAATCAAAGATAGAATGTAGTCTATGAGCAATGGTCAGGATGGTGCAATCAGAAAACTCCTTCCTGATTGTGTTCTGCACCAAGTTATCAGTCTCAAAATCAATAGAGGCTGTTGCCTCATCCAAGATGAGAATTTTTGTTTTCCGAAGCAAAGCACGAGCCAGACAAAGGAGCTGCCGCTGTCCAACACTGTAAATGTAAACACAAAAAATGTAAAATAATTTCAGCACTGGACTTTATGGTAATGACTCCTGTTCCCAAACCCTAATATTGTTATTCTTTTTTTTTCTCATTCATTATTCATTCAAAACATATTGTCTTCTATAAACCAAACACTTGTCTACGTTCTAGAAATGGAGCAATGAAGGACAGACAAAAATCTGTGTAGAGTTTGGATTCTCCTGGGGGACACAGAAAATAATAACAAAAGGATAATTGAGTAAGTGCATAAAAACAGTAAGGGAACCAGTATAGTAGATGTGTATTATAGAATTTTCATAAAAATATGTATATAAAAAGTGCTAAGAAGAATTCAAGCATGCATGAAGAGGGGTTATAAAATGTGGATGAGGAGTGGACATGGAAAGCTAAGAAAACCCTCACCAAAGGAGTTGCCTTTCAGGTCAAGGCCAAAAGTTAACCCCCAGATTTCTGGTGCAAACTTATACCAGGCAAAGGAAATAGCATATGCAAAACCCTGGAGGCAAGCAGGTCTGGCCTGGCAAACTCAGGAAACAGCAAGAGGTCATTGTGCAGAAACAGGATCAGCAGGGAGATTAATCAAAGAAGTGGAAGTCCTGCTGTGCAACCTTGAAAGGGGGTAGCTCATTTTCCCTAGGTCTCTGATCACCTGAAAGGGGCTGTCTTAAGACAACACACAGAGATGAAAATAATACCAACATTTACTGAGGCTGCCCCTTTATTACCTGTCCCTCTTCCCTGAAGGGAACCAGCAAGGGTATACTTTACACAATGCCGGCTGTGGCTCTCAGCAAATACCAGTTCTAAAACCCTTGGAAAGCTCTGTTCTTAAAACTTACCTGAGGTTTTCACCACCTTCTGAGATCTCATGCAGCAGCTTCTTGGGAAGGGACTGCACAAATTCTTTTAAGTGACACAATTCCAACACCTCCCACAGCTCACTATCAGAATAATTGTCTAAGGGGTCCAGGTTCATTTGAAGAGTTCCAGAAAATAAAACAGGATCCTAAACAATAAAGTAGCCTTCTGTGATCTTACTGTCATATGAGTCAACACATTTTTTAAAAAACATATCAGAAAACTAACAGGGAAAAAGCAAACTGATCAAACCTATTACATTTATAAAATCCATTTTACATAAATAAATAAACTATACAGTATCCCCTCCGCCAATCTGCTGTTCTATTCCCCATGGTTTTAGTTACCCATGGCCAACCATGGTTAAAAAAATATTAAATAGAAAAGTCCAGAAATATACAATTCAAAAGTTTTAAATTGCATGCCATTCTGAGTAGTGAGATCATATCTCCCACCATCCCACTTTGTCCTATACAGAACGTGAATCATCTCTTTGGTCAGTGTATCCACACTGTATAACCTACATACCAGTTAGTCACTTAGAAGTCATCCTGGTTATCATACCAGCTGTCTCAGTATTGCAGTGCTTGTGTTCAGAAAATATTTATTTTACTTATTAATAGTTTCAAAGTGCCAAGTAATGCTGGCAACTTGATATGCCAAAGAGAAACATTCAAATGTTTCCTTAAAGCAAAAATGCAACAGGGCACAGGGGTACATGCCTGTAATCTCAGCTACTTGAGAAATCAACTAGGGCAACTTATTAAGACCTTCTTTCAAAAGAAAACAAAAAGAGGTCTGGGCATATATCTCAGTGGTATAGTGCTTGTCTAGCTCATGAGAGGCCCTGGTTCAATCTCCAGGACCAAAAAAAAAAATGAGAAGAAAAAAAATTAAAAATTTATGGTGCTCAGAAAGGAAAAAATAATTGTTTGCTGAGGTTCCTAAGACCTACAGTAAGAATGAATCTTGTGTGAACCTCTCATAAAAGAAAAAGAAATTTGTATTAGTTTTCCTGTTGTGCCATATACTGAAAAAAAGGGGGGGGGGAAGTCATAAAAAACTCATAAAGTTTATAAAGAAAAATTTAACCAAATTAAAAGAGAGAGAGTGGGGGGGTACATTCTCAAAACTTACTATTTTTTTAAGAGAATATGGCTATAACTGTTCTGTCGATAGTTATTATTAATCCCTCATAGTACTTAATTTGTAAGTTAAGCCTTATCATAGGAATGTATGGATAGGAAGGAACATAAGCAAAATGGTTGGAGGTGAGGAGAGAAAGAGAGAGAGGAAAAAGAATAAGAAGAAGAAAGAGGAGGAGGAGGAAGCAAGGGAGGGAGGGAGGGAAGGAGGGAGAAAGGGAGGAGAGAATGAGGGAGGGAGTGTGAGCAAGATAGCTCACCTGAAATGAGTTAAGAGATACTGCTTTCAAAACAGGTCTTACCTGTGGAATTATATTGAGTCTACCACGAAGGTCATGAAGCCCAATTGTTGATATGTCTATTCCATCAATGATAATTTTGCCTCCTGATCTCTCCACAATTCTAAATAAGCTATTTGATAGTGTTGATTTACCTGCCCCAGTCCTTCCCACAATTCCGATCTGTAATGAAATGATCATAAACAGTTCACATGGTGCATTTTGTAAAGGAACAGAGCCTTTGCTCTACTCAAATGTGCTATTTGTCACAATTAGATCCCACTGACCCAAATGTGTTATTTGTCACATTTGGGTCAGTGGGATCTAATTCTGCCAACTAGACTAACTTTGACTGGTGTGGAAGATAATAATGTGTCTTCCCAAGATCTGTTGTGTGCAGACCCTCTTTACCCACTGAAAAGACTCTGGATACTAAGTTTTCCCTCTAGCTTTGAGTGAACGAGTTGCCACTTAACTAGAGAATCCCAGTCACTCCAGTGACAGTAGGTCATCTCCGAATCATTCCTGAACATCCAGTATATGGGCATCACTGAGGACGACGTAGTTTAACTGGAACTTTCAGAATGAGAATTTTCTCTACCCTTCCTCCCCACAACAAACAACACAACTAATTAATAAAAGGGACCGGAAACTGGTTGGAAAATCCGAAGGGATATCTGTAATTATCCCAGGTGTATTAAAACAACTTCACATTAAATTATCAAGGGAACCACAAGTAATGTTAAGGGTCTTGGACTTCTGACCAAAATAATAAGCACCCCAGTGACTGAACATGTTCCTATAGTCATAAAAATTAGTACAATATTTTCTGGTTGCTGATTTGTATATTGGTGTTAATAGAAGAACATTAGGAAAAGAGTTGTTTTGCCCTAATGAGAGATCTTAAATCTGACAAAATACATCAGAAAACAAAACCAAACCAGAATCTCTTGCATTAACTGGGGTAACCCAAATGCTAGAACCATTTTACTTGTTTCAATAATATTTTAGTCTTTAACTACCATGGCAGCAGACCTAGTTCAGAGTGTTGGAACAAGATGTTAAAGGTTACAAAAGATAAATCTCTGAAAAAGCCCAAGTAGGACATTATTCTTATTTTTTATGTTACTTCCATTTATGTGTAAAACATCTTTTTAAAATGAAAATAATGTTTCATATATAATTGTAAAAAAAATGAAGGAAAATTACAGAAGAAAGTATAAGATCATCTGAAATTATATCACCCAGAAGTAACAGCTATGTTTGATGACTATTCTTATATTTTTGCTAATGTGTCTCTTTACTTTTTAAAAGACAAAACTGACATTACACTACCAAATGTTTTTCAAACCATTTTTCTTTTTCTTTTTCTTTTTTTTTTTGAGAGAGAGAGTTTTTTTTTTTTAATATTTATTGTTTAGTTTTCGGCGGACACATCATCTTTGTTTGTATGTGGTGCTGAGGATCAAACCCAGGACACATCATCTTTGTTTGAATGTGGTGCTGAGGATCGAACCCAGAACGCACGCATGCCAGGTGAGCGCGCTACCGCTTGAGCCACATCCCCAGCCCATCAAACCATTTTTAAACCAAATTTCATCTCAATCATCAGAAAACATCATATCATGAACAATTATCCCATTATAAGGATTTACCATATTTTAGGTGAATATTTACTTATTTTTGACATTTGCTTTATAGAGGAAGTAAAAATAAAATGTACTAAAATTGTGTTTCATAATAGTGTACAATTTAAAAATGTATTTTTTTCTTAATAGAGGGAAAACTTGTTTTCTACTATCAACCACATGTCTTTATTCCTCTTATATTTATGAAATATCTTTAAAAGACCATCTTATAATAAATATTATATTATACTTAACAAAGTGCATTAGATATGGTACCTTCTCTTCCCCATTAGTCTGGAAAGTGATGTCTTCTAATGCCAAACCAAGATCATCTCGATATCGAGCTTGATAATTAATAAACTCCACTACCCCTTTATTGGGCCATTGTAATGGAGGCCTTCTAGACATAATCCAAGGTGCCTTAAAACGAAGAAATATTCTTTAATTATACTTACAATAAAATAATACCTTCTCTTCCCCCAAAATAATTCTTCTGCATGCAACCAAAAGTGAGGAAAATGATAAAAGACATTTATATATATGATTTTCTGAAAATAGTTTTCAATACTTACGAACATAAAACTTCTCATCGGGTTATAAGAAAATTTTAGAAATAAATTTTTAGAGAGAGCAAAGCTTCTCATCACCTATCAAGTTATCAAGACAAACTTTCTAAAATCCTATCAAGAGGTTTTAGGGTAACTTGAAATTTTAGGTGAGAGGAGGACAATTTGTCTTTCATTCATTCCCTAAATACTAAGTGTTTATAATGCCAATTGTACTTACTGGAGATTCAGCAAAGAGGAAAACAGATAAAGTGATCTTCCACTTTTGAAGGATATGTGCTAACAGGGAAGGAGACAGAACTACATAACACAGGAGGAGCATTGGATGAACAAAGTTTTGGAGGATAAGCACTTGGTAGAAGTGACAGGAAGAGGGCATGATTGTGAGCAGGGTCATTAGCAAAGGCTACACTGCACACAGTGAGGGAACAAGTCACAAGAATGTCAGCAGAAGAGGATTCAGGGCAAAGGAAACTGTGTGTGCCAAGGACCTGAGATAGAAGCCTGCCTGGAATACTGGAGAGACTTCAGGAGGTAGAACACACAGGACTGTGTGTACCTGGGTGACTGGATGAAGTATTTCATGGGAGGATGTAAGGATGGCCTTAGACCTTAGCCTAAGCAACTCCATTTTAAAAACTCCAGTTTGAAATCTGCAGTCTCACCAGGCACACCTATGGAGCCCTTCAGTATGGCCCTCTCAGGCACAAACAAGTCACTTCTCCCCACTCTGACAAACTCAGAGTGAAGACTCTGGCGTGTTGTCCTCACCCTGATAAGAGCGAGAAGCAAGAAAATCAGGGAGGGGACCACCAGACCAGATTCTCAGGACAAATGATGTCACTGAGAAATCCAGTGGCAGCTGATAGGGATTGAAAAAACAATCAGAAGCTCCCAAATTTAGTATAAATGATGGAGCAAATGAACAGACATTCAGCCAGCAGACAAGGATGCACATAATCCTGAGAGCATGATGAGGAACTGGACTGACAGCCCAACTCTTCTCATCTGCCTGATCCTCTGTGTCATTCTCACTGCTCTCAAACTCTACAGCAGCCTCCTGATTTGGGTGAGAAAAGGACTTCTCCCTGATCACCTCCTCAGGAAGCCATCAGCTCCACCCCAGGAGAAGCCTGCCTTGGTTCCTGACCTGATTGCCATGGTCTGAGTGAGTGTGCATCTGCTGGACTCAGAACCTAAGGCTTGAGACTTTTGATCTGACCCTTGAGCTTAGCATGCAGAGGGAATGTCTGTCATGAGCCTGTCATGATTAAGTGTGTTTGCAGTCCTTAGAATTAATCTAGAATTGTTTGCTGTGAATTTATTGTGCCTGTTGCAGTGCCTAAGGATTGCAGCATTAAGGATTGTCATTTTCTTGATTAAGAACCTACAGAGTGAAATTGTATTGACTGATTTGAAAAAAAATTATTGAAAAGGGCAGAAGTGCATGGACAGTCTTTATTTCTCCCCCTCGACTGCATAAGTCGCACCTTTTGCCCATCGAGACAGAGAGACAGATGGCCAATGTCAAGTTATACCTCAGGTAACATGAAAACTGAATACGGAACATTTGTGATCTAGGTAAGACAGGTTCCGTGAAGTGGTGGAATCAGAGGCCTGTTTAAAGAAGAAAGGAACTAGAGACAGCAAGTACCGGAAAATGTTCCAGAGAATTCTTCCACGAAAGGGAGTGGAGAAAGGGGGCTCTGGAGGGGATGAACAAGGTTATCTAAACAGATATACCTCTTCTACATCAAGAGTTTTTGCAAGGGTATTTGTCACAATTTGCATCAAATTACATGAAGATGTTTTTGTTTTTTAAATATGTGTATACCTACACATGCATTATATTGTATTTTTCCAATATGAAAGAAATATAGATTTATTGAAAATTTTCAGAAAATAAAGAAAATGATATTTTTTATGTAAATCATCAGATGATAAATGGACTAAGCAAACTGAAATTTAGTTCCTAAAGATTATGAATATAGAATAATTGTCTATGAGAAGGAAAGGCAAGAGCTAGGAGAGAATCCAGAGGATAATTCAAAGTTTAGGAAGGAGCTGGAGGATGTGGAGAATATTTTAGCTTATTTATAGGTTGTGTAAAGTAAGGGAGTAGGAAATTAGAAAGGTAGGAAAAAAAGGTAGAGAGGTGGTTAATGGAGAAAGGTCTGAGAAGACAGGAAGAAATAAAACAAAAAATATAATTGGAAATGTTAGATTGTTATGTGGAGAAGATGTATTTCTTCCTTAGTGTCCAAGCAAATGAGAGTTATATGCAAAAGAGGAAAGAGGAATTCAAGTCATCTTCACTATCTTAATATTTATGGAACTTGAAGTGGAGATCACTTGATGAGCAAAATACAAGGATAACTTAAATTTTATTCTCTATCAATAGTTAAATTTTTTGCCTTCCCAAATTATAATTGATTAAAAGGAAGATTTATTTTCCTTCTCCTTCCCATTCACTGAGGTGTTAATGATGAATTAATGAAACAGAAGGTATAATCACTACAAACATAATTAATCTAAAAACTGTGAGGACTCTAAATAATTATAAGATGACTATATAAAGGCTTTTTTCACAATGTTAAATATCCCACAAAGTTATAATTGTAAATTGTGTATTTTGCCCTATATCAGTAGAGGACAAATCATCATGTCTTTTGAAAACAGGTTATCCTATTTCATTCTGATAACTTGTTGAAACACCTTACAATTTGTGGAGAGTCTATTTAATCAGCAAGGTTTTTATTTCTATTTTAGTGATATATACAATAATGGTGCATTTTACAGTATTTTTTTTGTTTCATTGTCATTGAAATGCTGAATATTAGAATGTGAATTTAGAAATTGAAGGCTTTGTTTAAAATTTAGTTTTCAAGATGTCAACTGAAGGTGCATCATGATGTCTTATTCCTAAACATTTACTGGTTATTGATGAGTGCCTACCTCTTTATCAATATCTTCATATTCACACACTCTTTCAATGGACACTGCATTGGTTTCAATTTCACATGCCTTCCTTACCCAAAAATTCAGAGATTGAGTAATCTTGGGGATGAGGATAAAAGAGGAAGTAAGAGATTAATTCATATTCTTTCATCTTATATGTAAAAAGTAATACTATGTTTTATAAGGTTTAATTTTCTGAGTTTTCAAATGCCTCCTGTCTTTTGATTACTTAACAATTCTAGAAGAAAACATATTTATACAGATATACACATCTGTGTTCCTTCAAGTATGTTAGACCTACAATATAATAAATAATGGAATGATTTGGAAGATGATAAAATGACCAGAATTCAATACATAGTAAAGTAATCCACACTTGGTGTAAGGAATAATGAATAGCAAGATGGATAGGATATGCCTCACAAAATCTACATCATAAATGCAAATAAAAGATAATTAATGACACTGGGGCATTCTTCTCTACCTTCCGCCAGAAGGAAGACTCTCCTATTTTATTTCCTCATTTGAAAAAAACTTCATAGTCCTCACTATGGCAGTGTATATACTAAAATTGGAATGATACAAAGAAAATTAGGATGGTCCCTGCACAAGGATGACACACATATTCGTGAAGTGTTCTATATTTTTCAATAGTATATTACATAGCATTAATAGAGAATAAAATTATTGTATTTGCGGGTAAATGAATGGAGTTGGAGAATATCCCCAAAACCAAAGGCTGAATGTTCCTTCTGGTAAGTGGATGCTGATCCATAACGGGGAGCGGGGAAACATGGGAAAAATGGAGGAACTTTGATGAGGCAAAGGGGAGGGAGGAGTGGGATGGGGTCATGGGGGCTGGAAAGATGGTGGAATGAGATGGACATTATTACCCTAAGTACATGTATGACTGACTGCACATATGATGTGACACTACATCATGTACAACCAGAGAAATGAAAAGTTGTGCTGTAATTGTGTACAATAAATCAGAATGCATTCTGCTGTTATATATACCTAATTAAAATAAATTAATTAATAAAAGTTTGTGAACACTAGTTTGTTTTGTTTTGTTTTTTTCCGTGCCCTCAAATGTAGGTTCTCCAGGTTGAACTTCAAGTTTACTTCTAAAAGTCAAAAGCTTTGGCTTTTATTTTATCTTCAGTTTGGTGCCAACTTACATGATGGCCTACTTGACTTGAACAGATGTGGAGCTCCTTAAAATGTTTCTTGAACCCACTTGAGATATATATTCACATATTTCACTGAAGAAATAGTAACATTTGATTATGGGATTTTGCCCCAACCCCTGAATATGTATTTTATATTCTCTTTCTAGAAGTCTAAGTCCAGAATACTGAAATGCCCCAGGGGTTTTGAATACAAGACTAAGGTACATACCCAAATCATCTAGACTTACCTGTGTAATTAATGTGTAATTATGTTAACTAGTTTAAGGCATTTACTCTTTCACAAAGGAGATATGGACACACTCTTACCAGTGCTTTGAAGTATAGTATAAAATAGGGCTTAGGGGAAAATTCATAAGCAGAAGAGAAGTGGAGCATATACTGCCCCCAGAGCTTGCAAGTATCTGCTTGCTTCAGCAGGGCAAAGTGAGCACACCAGCTATGGTGGGGAAGAGACCATACCCCAGAACCTTCTGTAATTATAAAGATGGGGAGCAAGAGACTTGTGGGTCATTATGGAAGGTTCCTGTTCCTCCAGGGCTCAGCCCATTCTTTCTGGGAGCTAACTGAAAATTGCTGAGCCAGCTCCTGGCTACTACCAAAATAGAGGAAGAAATGAGCCTCCAGGGTAATCCAGCTTTGCCTCTCATTACTTAGTTAATACAATCTATAATTCAGACAGGCAAAGGAGAAGAGTGTTTAATTAATTGCATTATAAACATGCCATGTACCACAAAATCATTATTACTTACATTTAGGGCATAGGATATAGACAAACCAACTATTGCTGAATCTATGGAATTGCCAGCCAACACAGCAAGCAGAGCAGTAAAGAACAGCATTAAGTTGCCAAGAAATTCAAGCCTAACGGACAGCCACCTGTAATAAATGGAATGTTCCTGAGAACTGAGATGCAAAAGTTTTGGTGCAGTTAATACTAACTCTACTCTGGGAAATTGAGAAGAAAACATCAATGACTACTTTCTTTGCCTGCCCCACACCCCCATCCTTACTTGGAACTCAATTAGGAACTCAATTAAACCCAGATTATCACAATGATGCTAGCTTAAATAAAGGATTCCTCTGCATAAAAGTTCACATTACTTTTGCAGAAGTTTGCTTTAAAACTTAATCAGAATTAAAAAGCAAAAGACAAGAACTTTAGCTAAGATGAGTTACTGGCAAATAAGTTACTTCTCCAATTACATACACTGTAAAATCAGATGCATTTCATACTGATTAAATTATTCTCTAAAAATTAAAATATGCCCAACTACTATTTATTATTTCATTATTACCTCCTTATAAGATTATAACTTGAAATTAAAACTACCATAGAAAAGTATGCACAAACAAAATATATTCTACAAATACTGAATACAACAGAATCTTATTAGTCATTCTAATAGCATCCTATAATTTCTTCAAAAAACAGAACTTTGTTTTCATATAAAGTAGTAAGTATGTGTCTTTTATATGGTATATATGTAGATATGATTTAACTTAAATGCATATTAAACACTAGAAAATATTCAGGATTTACATATATGTGTGTGTGTGTGTGTATATATATATACATATTTAACTAGTTAATGTATACTGATTTGATGAAATGGCATTAGAAAACACTTTTTTTTTTTTTTTTTTTTTTGCTATTCTGGATTGAACTCAGGGGCACTCCACTGAGACACATCCCTAGCCCTATTTTGTATTTTTTCTCTTTAGATACAGGGTCTCAGTGAGTTCCTTAGTGCCTTGATTTTGCTGAGGATGGCTTTGAACTCTCGACCCTTAACCTTCAGCCTTCCAAGCCACTGGGATTATAGGAGTGTGCCACTGCACCTGGCTAGAAAACATTCTTTCATTTAAAAGTCAGTGAACAAAGTATCTAAGAATAGACAGATTCTATGCTAGATTTATTGATGAAACATACCTGTTTGAAATTACATTATTGTAGAAACAGACCAAGTTCTCATTCACTACCTCTCTGTTTTGCTGGATAAACCTCTGTTCATGTCCGAATGCTCTAATAGTGGACACTCCCAATAAAGTCTCACTGAAGTGAGAAATGACAGGGGAACGGGAAGCTCCTGACAACCGCCGAATCTGTCGAGAGCTGGCTATGTAGTATCTCTAATCAGAAGACAGAAAGAAGTAGTTGGAAAGATGTAGCAGAAGTTGCTTCAGTGACTTAAAAACTACAAGAACCTTGTGTGGTGACTTAAAGTGACCCCCCCCCCAAAAGCTTGCGTCCAAATTCTAACACCTCTCTCTGTATCTTTAAGCATCACCTTATTTGGAATTAGAACCTTTGCAGATGTACATAATGTAAGGATCTCAAGATAAAATCATTCTGGATTTGTGGTAGGCCCTTAATCCAATGCTGAGTGTCTCTACAAGTCTCGGTAAAGGACTCAAAACAGAGAGAGAATGCCATGTGTGGTGAAAGGCAGAATTTAGAGGGATATGTCCACAAGATAAGGAAAATGCCAGGATTGCCAACAGCCCAGAAAAGCAAGCATAAAGCATGAAACAACTTCTCCTTGGAGTCCCTAGGAGGAACCAACCCTGCCTGCATTTTGATCTTGGACTTCTGGCCTCTAGAATTAACAGAGGATAAATTTCTCTCATTTTTAAGACATCCAGCTTTTACTTGCTACAGGAGACTTAGAAAACTAATACCCCTTTATAACAGTGAAAACCCCAAATTATGGACAGTAGAACTAGGACATAATTAGAAAAAATTTCACTTGCTTGGTGCTCTCAAGTGACCATTACTGAGTACCTACAATAGGAAAAGTTCTGTGTCACATGCTGAAAACATGACCAGGCAGTTAACCTGGGAAGTTGACCAAGGGTACCTATGATATTTTTTTACCTGAACAAAATTGCAAAACAAAAAGCAAATCAATTTATTTTTTCCTCCATGAAAAAGATATAGTATACCCAGAATTATGATTGAGTTACTCCCCCTTAGCCTTAGGGATTATGAAGAGTTTGGAAGGACTATGTCCTAAATTAACTGAAATATCATTAATCATCTACAGAAAATTGCTACCAATGAAAATCAGGGATTACAGATCTTTTACTTTTTTTTTTTTTCAGAAAAATCTCCATATCTGGAATTTCATGTAAAATCCCTGATTTTAATGTCTTTATTTTGGTAAAAACGCTGATCAAGCAAAACAAACATGTATCTCAAGCCATTTATAAAACTATCAGTTCATAGTTCATAAACTCTGCTCTGTACTAAATGCTCTGGAAAATACAAAGGATTATCACATTCCAGAGGCTGCAAAGGGACTTACCAGACTGTCTAGTTCATGGATGCTGTTTTTGGAGACACAGGCTCTGAGAGTAGCTGATTAAGGGTGAGACACTTATCCCTAGGTATATGTATATGTGAATACTATACATCCTTTGAGTTTTTTTTTTTTTAATTCATTGACCTATAGAAGCCATGCAGTTCTTCCAGGGAACTCTCCAGGGAATCTAGCTTAAGAACCATTAATCTAGATCAGTTTCTCATACTCTAGTAGGAATCACCTGGAAGGTTTGTTAAAATGCAGACCTCTGGGCCCCATACTGAGATACTCTAATTCAGTAGACCTGGGTTTATCATACTTTGAATAGCACATGTCAAGTGAAACTGATAATTCCACAGGGAAGAGAAGTAGAGTCCAGAAAGGGAAGTTATATTCTTGATGCAGAAAACAAGAAGGTGACAAGAACTCAAGGCTCCTGAATCCAAATTCAAGTATCACCTTATTCAACTTCCTAGGGGGTTCTAGATTCTTTTAATCCTGGTCACCCTATTATAGTTTACCAACCTTGAGATCATCACATAAAACTTCATTCATGACGTGTGTGTGTGTGTGTGTGTGTGTGTGTGTATTTTTTTAAGTGGATAAAATTGACCCTCAGTAGCATTCTTCTGTTTCCAGATTGATTTTTTTTTTTAAATAAGACATAGTCTCTGGCCTTTGGAAACATGATCTGATCAAAAAGACAATATGTGGTCTCCTAAAAAGTAACTTATAATACTAGTAATATAATACATCCAGAGTACATAGGTGATTTTGCACTATTTTGGTAGAAAATGATTCACAAGAAAGTGGAATATAACATAGGCCATGCAGAGTAAGATCTAGGTAGAGAGAATAGAGGAAACACGTGAAGTAGGTAGAATAATAATAGCACATGTTCAGAAATAAGAAAATGATTAACATTCTGTCTTGAGCAGACTAAATTCTAATATGAATTTAAAAAGTTGAGTTTTGGGAAGGATTTGAACTACAAAGAAGGTATCCTTTTGTGAGAAAAGCTTTAGAATATTTTGATATTCAATTTAAAAAATATATTAGTATATTGTGTTTACTTACTGTAGCCTCACAGTGACATAATTTTTGAATTCAAATTGGTTGATTGTATTTTAATACACAGATAACACATGAATAACATGAGACATATTTAGTTCTTCCAGCAAAAATTTGCTGATATCTAGGATAATAGGACAAAAGGTAGTATCTGTTTCTGTCTTGATTATACAGGCAAATTAACATAGCTTAGAGACAGCATGGACTGCTGCTCTGCTAGAATTACTGCACTATGACTATTGAGGCTACTTTTTCATGGATGGCTCCCAGCCAATGACTGGATATGAGAGAGAGTGTGAAAGCAGACTCATTCAGAAGTCACATGGGACCCACCAGTGGTGACCTTGGTTGAGATCTTCCCTTTGAATTGAATGCACCTTTAATAAAAAATGCTCTGCAATGACAGACTTTTCCTTCCCAATTCTTCTAGCTCCTTTTCCCTCACAGGTATCACACATACATTGCCGTCCAAGAGTTCTCCCAGCTAAGCCTTTTCCTGTTTCCTCTTCTTTATTTTGACATGCATTTCCCAAAGTATATCTATAGTACAATTCACTTCTAGGACCCTGCTTTTTGGAGAATCTGAACTAACAGAAAGTTTAAGTGGGTGTACAACTATATTGGACTGTAGATGCATGTTATTAATACAAATAAAAACCCAAATACTTACTTGTATGGTGAAATATAAGAAAACCAAGGGAATAATCCCAAGAATGAAGAGTGGGAAAGCTCCCAGGATGACCAAAATTGTTCCGATAACATCTAGTGTATAATTCAACCAGGTCCGTAAATAGTAATGGAAACGTATATCAATTATAAACATATCCTGAAAAAAATTTGATACCAGATCACTTTATTTTGAACTATTTCATGGCTTAGAATGAGAGAGAGAAGAAATATATCCTTTAATGGAAAATGAAAAAGAATTTACCAAACTGTTACAATTAGATGACTAAGAAAGTCTGACTACACTCTTTTCCCACCACCATACATTTTTCTTATAGTCCATAGGCTATGCCACAAAGCAAGTCTTCACAAATACAAAAAAAAAATAGAGATATTACACAGCATTCTATCTGACCATAATGGAATAAAATTTGAAATTGATGACCAAAAATAGATAAGCTACTCCAACACTTGGAGACTAAACAACATGTTATTGAATGATGCATGGATAACAAAAGATATCAAATTTGAAGCCCGATCCCATGAGATGGAGATTAGAGCCAACTTTTTCTTCTATCAGATGCAGAGTTTCTGGTTTGATCCCTAGCTCCTTGATCCATTTTGCATTAACTTTTGTGCATGGCGAGAGAAAGGGATTCAGTTTCATTTTGTTGCATATGGATTTCCAGTTCTCCCAGCACCATTTATTGAAGATGCTATCCTTTCTCCATTGCATGCTTTTAGCACCTTTGTCTAATATAAGGTAGTTGTAATTTTGTGGATTGGTCTCTGTGTCTTCTATTCTGTACCATTGGTCTACCCGCCTGTTTTGGTACTAGTACCATGCTGTTTTTGTTACTATTGTTCTGTAGTATAGTTTAAAGTCTGGTATCACTATACTGCCTGTTTTACTCTTCCTGCTTAGAATTTCTTTTGCTATTCTGGGTCTTTTATTTTTCCAGATGAATTTCATGATTGCTTTTTCTATTTCTGCGAGAAATGCCGTTGGGATTTTGATTGGGATTGCATTAAACCTATAGAGTACTTTTGGTAATATTGTCATTTTAATGATGTTAGTTCTGCCTATCCATGAACAGGGTATATCTTTCCATCTTCTAAGGTCTTCTTCTATTTCTCTCTTTAGGGTTCTGTAGTTTTCATTGTATAAGTCTTTCACTTTTTTTGTTAGGTTGATTCCCAAGTATTTTATTTATTTATTTATTTTTTGAGGATATTGTGAATGGGGTGGTTGTCCTCATTTCCATTTTAGAGGATTTGTCACTGATATACAGGAATGCCTTTGATTTATAACTCTGATTCAATTTATCAAAATCTCTGGGACACTATGAAGGCAGTGCTAAAAGGAAAGTTCATTGCAAGAAGTTCATTCATTAAAAGAAGAAAAAGTCAACAAATAAACAACTTGAGATTACATTTCAAAGCCCTAGAAAAAGAAGAACAAACCAACACCAAAAGTAGCAGAAGACAGGAAATAATTAAAATCAGGGTGGAAATCAATGACATTGAAACTGAAGAAACAATTTAAAAAATTGTTTTAAAATTGACAACATCAAAAATCTAGTTCTTTGAAAAAAAAGTAATAAAACTGAAAAACCCTTAACCACTCTAACGAAAAGAAGGAGGTTGAGAAAACTCAACTTACTAAAATTTGTGTGATGAAAAAGGAAATATCATGACAGACACTATTGAAATCTCTAGAGGCATGTGATCAATCCAAACTGAGTCAAGAGGATATACACAATTAAAACAGATGAATTTCAAGCAAGGAAATAGAAGATGCCATCAAAACCCTATCAACCAAGAAAAGCTCAGGAGCAGATGAATTCACAGTTGAGTTCTACAAGACCCTCAAAGAAGAACTAATACCAATATTCTCCAAATTATTTCATGAAATATAAAAGGAAGGAAACCTTCCAAACTCATTCTATGAAGCTAGTATCCTGTTAACAAAACCAGGCAGACACACATTAAGGAAAGAAAATTTCAGATTTCCAATTTTCAGATTTTCAATATTCCTGAGGAACACTGATGCAAAAATTCTCAGAAAAATTCTGGCAAACCACATACAAAAACATTAAAAAAACTGCACCATGATCAAGTGGGGTTCATTCCAGGGATGGAAATGTGGTAAAACATGTGGAAATCAATAAATATAATTCATCACATCAATAGAATTAAGATAAGAATCATGATTATATCCATCCCCCACTCACCATATGTGATTCTCAGAGATCTCCACATGTACTTACATTTTCTTTCCCATCCTAGCCTTAAACCAGTGACTGTCAACTTTATGTATGTGAGAAAAAAGAGTTGTAAATACCAAAGTATATGTTGTTCTTTAATTATTTCAGCAATCTTCAAGGTAATTTTAATTAAATGCTTAAGGTATGACACTCTTACACATCAATTACAAATTTCTTAATAAATTTGACAATAAAATCTACACTAAACACATTCTCAGCATTTTATAATAACATTTTTACAAATGAGATTGCAAAGAACTACGCATAGGTTATCACTTTAAGTATGATACTTGACAAGGAAAGTCTTTCCTTACCTTGGTGAACCGATTAATGATTTGACCAATGGGATTGGTTTCAAAATACTGGAGTGGGAGGTGTAGCACATTACTCAAGAGCTGAGCATATAAGGTTCTAGAAGCAGACAAGGATCCTCTGGTGAGTACACAGGCTCCAAAGCAGACAAAGAGACCTAATCACAAACGTTGTTAGGATCAGGTTCACATCTTAAAGGAATTTTGTGTTTTAATTCTCAAAAGTCTGCTTATAATGACATTTTTAAAAATAGAAAATCCAAGTGTCATACTTAAAAAATGTACAATTGCGGACCAAAGCAAATGTAAATGTACTTGGTGCACTAGAAGCAGACAGTCTGATGATTTGCATGCTACCATAGGTTTGTGGTCAATGGTTCTATACAAAATGCACGAAAGTTAATAAGAGATCAATCTGGTTCACAGAATGTTAGCATCCTATTAAGTTTATAATGTCCTGTGGGAAAATGTGGTTGCCACTAGTGTTGTCAGCCAAACTGTTCCAAGTTCTCTCAGCTTCTAGGTACATGGTGCATTTGTACCCACTAGCCCCTTTGTGATTGATAATACTAAGCACATAGTTCTGAACAATGAATTGTGACATTACCACATGACACTTCCAGGTTAGAGTATTTAATTGCAGATGCCAGCCCTGTTACAGCTCCAATTTCCTTTATACAGTGTCTTCTAACATTGAAATGGTGACTGAATTGCTCCTTCAGTTTGAGTCCTCGGACAAGAAAGTCCCTTTCTCGACTCAGTGGACACAAGGTATGAGTGAGGAATAAACATTTTTTGATGTCATAAGGTACTGAGATTTGGCTGGTGGGAGGGTTATTTTTATAATAACTAAAAAGTCAGAAAATAATATGAAATAAATGGGAAGCTTTAGTGAAAAAGGTTAGAAGTTATTAATACCAATACAATGTTGATTTTGACAATGTATAACAAAAGACAAAAAAGAGTTAACCAATATATGAGAAGAAATGAGAGTCCTCAGCTTGAAAAACTAGTAGGGCTTGAATGGAAATGTTGGGTTACAATGTTCAGAAATTACTTTGTGACCCAAATTGTTTCATGCAGAGTAATTCAAGTACATCCATAGGAGGAAGTTCTTTGAAAACACATTTCCATTACCATGTGAAAACTGAGAGGGAAAACAATGAGGAAAATAATAGAGATAATAAGTTAAAAGGGTTGTGGACACTTCCTTTGAGCCTTTTGTTAAAGTGTGTTTAAAGATCGAGGCTTTTCAGTTGGTTGTACATTTGGGATAATTTCTTATAATTTATCTTCTCACACCTGTACAATCTTTTAAAATTCTTTAAATTGTTTAAGAGCTATCTTGTTCTCAGATTGTATTTAGTTCAACACATTCTGCATTTACTTTATGAATGCAATATTTGAATCTCTGAAGATACTAATTAGACATTTGAAGGTTCTCTTCTAATTTAAATATGATTGTTTTCTGGATTTAGCTGCTCTAATTTGCTGACTTGTTTCTTTATACTATTGCTATGACTGAAATACAGGATCATTTTAAACAACTAAAGGAAAAACATATTTGATGAGGCTTTCTTTTGTCATTGCTCACACTTATTTCCCCGAACATTTCTCTCCCTTGAATGTGAGAGGACTTACTTCGAGGTTCACTTAAGTGGGAGGATATGACACCAAAAGTCTTCAATTTGGAATGAGACCCAGCAGGCTGAGGCTTCAAAAGCCACAATAAGAAAGCTTTCCTCTATATTTGCTACACACTCTACTATTCCTACTTTCCTCTGTAAACATCATCTTTCTGGTTTCATTGCACTGTTCCTGTGTTAGTGCTTACTTTGGTTGTGATGGCAGTGGTGGTGGGTGGGCTAGTGGAATAATGCCCTAGTGACTTATTTTTATGACTTCCATGTAATTTGATTTTATTCTTTGCAACCATAAAAACTAGTGTTTTTCCATGGCTCTACCAAGCATCACCCTCTTCTTTAGAGTTTCTCCAGTATTTACTCCTGGCTTCAGGTTCTTGTACCCTTGATCTTCTGCAGGTATAATGGTTTATGTAGAAATTTGTCACTTTGAAATTCCCTGAAGCCTTTCCTTTTATATTTATTCACTGTCATTTCAGTGAAGTTTTGTGTGGTAAGTAAATGGTCCATTCAGTGATTTTAAAGTGGAAGGAACAGTATACTCGTTTAAACATTACATTTTGGGAAATAAGGTGTCTATGTTTTATACCTTAGATCAGGAAATAAAGTCCCTAATAGTGAGACATAAAACACAATATATTAGGGATGTGCAGAGTATCCTACAGATTTTAAAGCAAAGAGCTGAGACCCAAGGAAAAAATGCTCAGGGCTATTTATTTTTTTAGAAAATGAAGGAAGATCTTTATTAATGTTATAAAATATAAAGTTTTCTGCCTCAGTACTCAGGTTCTGTTCAAATATTAGCCCTCTATATTATTTATAACAGATCTAGAATTAACATGTGAAAGTACTGTTTTTGCCTTTAAGTTAAAAAAAATTGTTTTGAGCTAAGATAATTTAAATGAAGAAAATGTGAGTATATCCTGCACAAGCCCTGCATTCAATCCTTAGCACAGGAAAAAAAAAAAAAAAAAAAAAGAATGGGAGTCAGGACCCAGAGAGTTCTTTATGTAAGCCATTCAAATAGCTCTGATCTACTAAGCCTTCGCAAGTTATTTGGTTGCTACTAAGCCTTTCCAAGTTATTTAGTTCACAACTTACTGATTCTTTATACAATTGAGTATATAAGTGATTCATTCTGCTTCTCTGGGTTTTTATTTCTTTATGAAGGTTTCCAAACTTTGATTAAATAAATCAATATGCTTTTTTTCTTGTTAATCTATCTTATATCAATTTAACTCTCAGCACTAGATGAAAGGAAATACTAAAAAGGAAGAAGAAAAATCCTGCATGCATCTATTTTTCCTTCATATTCTTAAAGACTACAATGTCCATGTAGAAGGCTCTGTTATTTTCTTTCTGATTTGATATTACTGTCTCTCAAGTTGGCTTCCTTTCTTATAAATGAAACTAGTTGCATTTAGTTTTTTAAATTTCCTTATGTTTATACTATGTTTTTGAGTATCTTTGTTCTTTCAAATTGCCTAACATCTTTTAAGGACTATATAGTATAATTATATTACATGTACATGTAATATAATTATACTATATATATGTGTATGTGTGTAGGTGTGTATGTATGTATATACAACATATATACACATATACGTGTATGTGTAGGTGTGTATATATGTATATATTGTATATGCATGTATATATATATATATATATGTAAAATATACTCCTTCATTCTCTAACAACTTCATAATTTCCTACAATGTGTTCTTTTCCCATTTTTCTCTCCATGATGTATCTTGGCTATACCCGGATTCTTAGTTTTCTTTCTCCTTCTTATATGATAACATTTCACAGTCATTGAACTTTGAAACATTAACTTTTTATTTCTAAGTTTTTGTTTTGCTTCATCATGATTTTATGCCTCACTTTGAAAGCAGTGTATTACAGCCTGAAGTTTTCCAAAGTATATTCTATAAAAGGAATGTTTTTCAAGATGTTAATGGGAAAGAACATTTTTAAAATATCCATAGTCAATAGATTTGAGAAATATCAAGTCAAACAATTAAACAGGGCAGCTTATCATTTAATAACCTAAAACCTTTAATGAAATCCAGAAAGAAAATTTCAGACTCAGAAGAATACAGTTGCCACTTTTCCTAACCTGTTGAAATATAGAACTCAGTTTGTGAAGCATACTGAAAGTTTCGTGTAAAATCCTTTTGGAAATTCTAATTTAATGTTTAAGAACAAGCACTTGGGAGTCAGGCAAACATGGATTCAAAAATTAGCTCCAAAATATGCTATCACAGAATGTTGATCATACGATTTAGTTTCTCCACTGCTAATAATACCCTACATTTATTGCACTACTGCTGTATTTTTCTACCTACTCTACCCATATTGTCTAATTTAATCATGAGGAAAAATGTCTGTGTGGGAATATCTATATTGTATGAGCATTAAAAGTGAAAGGTTAAGTAACATCCCCAAGTTTAATGAGTTTCTCTTTAGGATATATATGCTAAGTTAATTAATCTAGTAGTTTAAATAGTATGAAATGGCCATTTTTGTGAGTTAGAGAAAGCCAAATCTCACTTGGCTAAATCTCTATAGCTAAAATACTTTGTCCTTCCAGAAACAGAGCAAACATTCACATTATAGTATTTGTTTTATCTCCATTTCACTGACTGTGGAATAATCTCAGCTCAGCTTCTATGAAGCTGGTCCACCAGGTAGCTCTATGGACAAAGTCCTCATTCACCCTTATGGCCCTTAATTTTCATTTATAATGGTCACATATGCTCTCATGGCTTCATTTATTCTCTGTGTAGAACAATTCCAAGTCAAAGTAGAACCACAGAAGTATAGAATATTAGAATTTGGAGGAAATACAGAAATCATCTAGTCTAAGTCTCTCATTTTACAAAGAAAACTGTTGGTTTAAACTTCCAGATATGCATTTTAATCGGTCTAATGGAATAAAAATGGTGGAAATAGTTATCAACACTTTCCATTAAATGTGTCCGAAACTGAATTTACCATTTGTCTGCCCCACCAATTAAGGATCCCTCCCTATTTCTTTATTTTTGCCATCATTGCTTTTCTAGTTACCTAATCTAAACCTTAAAATCATGATGAATGGGTGTCTTTTCCTCACTCACCCTCAATTCTTATGTACATTTTCACTGCAATGTTTTCCCATCCATCCCGTTTAAACAATCCAATGGCAGCTCTCTATCCATTCTTTCTTTGGTCATTCATTCATTCATTATGTATTTATTCGATGCTCTTCTGCCCTGTACCCGTGAGTCAGCACTGGACTAGAGGCTCTGGGTGATTCACAGATGTATCAGACAAGAAAACTTTCCACATTAGATTACTGTTCCCTTAGACTCCTAAATACCCTTGCTTATTTCTTTTCTATCAACTTCAAGTTCTCCCTGGTCCATCCAACTCTTATCCTCACAATAAGAAAAATGTATATTTTTAATCATTGCTGCTGATTTTTTCTTTTTCTTTTTGAAATGTAACTTCAAATATGTAACTATTTCTCTCCAATTCCCAAAGTTTTCCACTTGCTTTTTCAAATATGGTCTCCAACATATCTCCAAACTACCTTACCATCTTTGGTTCCATTCTGCCCTTATAGCAGCCTGAGGATCACTCAAACTGACACCCTCATTCTTGCCAAAATACCTTTCTGCCTCTTACATACTCTGTTCTGTCACCTCAATGTAAAAAAAAAATTCCATATATCCTCTTAGTATCACTTCAAACTCCAAGTATTCTTTAGAAGTCACATTAATACCTCAACCAAATATGACCTTCCTGCCCTGAATCCTCATAGAGCTTTCTTTTATACCTATATAGCACTGATTGCTTACTATGCAGTTTGATTGTGAACCTGACCTATATTCATTAGGCTTTAATTCCTTAACAGACTTTCCTATCGATTTTCACATCACTCCCAACACTCACACATACAGAGTGATACCTCACCGGAACTTTTGAATGCTGCATGGCTTAATATATAAGTCTCAGTGTTCAGCTGTACAATGGTGACAATGGCATCTTTCTAGATAATTACTGCCAAGACTAAATGAGATAAATATGCAAGTTATTGTTGTGAGCCATGTAGCTGACGCTGACAAGCTTTGGTATACTCTCTCAAATGTGGTAAATTGGAAATATATGCATTTGGTTACCTCCATATATTTGAAAATTATGGCTTTATTTTGAGATATCATGATGCCATATGCTTATGTTTGAATTAACTTTGAGTCCGTATAAAAAGAGAAAGAGAAAAGCAAATAGACATTTCTTTTTTACCTTGAATGAATCCCAATAATCCATAGATATTAAGTTTATTGCTTCTTATTTGCTTCCATTCTGTGAAATCATTCAAGTGTTTTGCTTCTTTTGCCCAGGAACTAAGCCATAGATTCTGTCCAATGCTCACCAAATTCTGTCCTAGGCAACTGGCTACTATCAGCCACACCCAGGGCCAGCCAAAGGCTTGGAGATACTTCAGAATGATTGAGAACTTCACCTAAGGTAAAATTGGTCTAAAATTAGATTGCTGAGAACACTAAAATGTGACATGCTAACTTGAATGTTTCTTTACTGATTATTTATGATTAGTATCAATTAAATAAATACCATGATAAAAAGCCTCAAAGTTGTACTTTAGAGTCAGACACAATAGATTTAAATCCTATTCTGATGTTTCCTAAGCTTTGGTATGGTGATCAAATTACTATCTTGTCTAACTCCAAGATTACTCATCTGCAAATTAGAATAAGAACAAGTAGCCATCTTAAGAACATCCAAAGCAAAAATAACAGTCCTGAATACTTAAAAGTGGTAAATTAATCTTAGTTACTATCATTAGTAAAAGACTATACATAACTAAATAAGGTAATCATTACTAAACACAAGTAACATATCCAACAATTCCATTTAATTTAATTTTTACAGACTATTATATATAAATTAAATGGTAAATGTAGCATTTATTAATAATGAGATATAACATTTCATTTTTGGATAATTAATAACATATGGTCTTCTGATTCTTACCCCACCAACAGGGATCTTTTCTTTTTTCATCGAGAACTGTTTTCCATGGTCCACTGAAGGTCTGATAAACCAAGACAATGTTTAGTTTTTAGGTTTTAGATAACTTAACATTTTTAAATAATATGTACTCTGAACCATTTTTTACATTTTTTCTTCTACTTCCTTATCTTGATAGCAATCTGAACTGCTATTGGTTCTTCAGTCTTATCCAAAGGAAGGTGATTCTCTCTCTTTCCTTATATAGCTCAGGGTCAGGGCATGTTGTCTGCTTTTTTATTTCTTCTAAATAATTATTTTTCAAAAGTGAATCAAGTCACTGGGTGCATTGTACCCCACCACTCCTTCTTGACTCACTTTCTGGTATCAGAAAGCTCCCCAAATCCATATTCTTTCCACCTCGTTCTTCCACCATCCTGGTAAAATCATAGTGTCCATGAACAACTATGTCAAACTCAGCCCTTTCCCAACCTCATGACCTTCATAGTTTCAGTTCCTTCATCTTTATTTTACTTTGACCATTACATTTCATGACTTTAAACCATAAATTGTATTATATAGAATCAACTCACCTCTAAAAACCCAAGTCTAAATATTTCAATCTCTGGTCATAACCTTTTGTATTTCAGTTGTAAATTTAGTTACTTCCATCACACCTAGATTTCCAATTCCCAAATCCACTTTTCTATAATGTTTTCGCTCTTCAATATGATCAATAATCCTAGTTTACCTGGATTTCCCTGGTTTTAGCATTGATTATTTCACATTTAAAAAAAAATTTTAGTCAAAAGAAAAACTATGCCCTCTCACTAATTCCTTCATTACCCTGCATATCATCCATGATTTAATTTTATCCAAACTGTGGTAATATGTTAAACTCCAGACCTGCTTTCTTTCCCTTAAACCTCATCAGAACTCACTTATCAGTTCTCCCCACCCCTACCCTGCAGAATGCTGCTCCAAAACATCATGTAACCCTGTACATTGGTTCCACCATAAATGATGCCTTTCTTGCACTTGGGCTCCTAATATGACCAAAGAGTTTGCCTCACTCTCAGAAGGAGGCCTTCTATCCTGCTTTATGAAAACCATGGAAGCAGACAGGAGAACAACCACCAAATCTTTATAGGTATCTGCATTTCCACCCAGTCTTTTCTCATTTTCTCTTTTAACAATCACAGAGATTTCGCTCCTTAGATCCAAGGATAACTCATGGCCGGAGTTCTACTCTGTCCCACTTTCTCAAAATACATTTATTAATTATAGTGTTTCTAAACTTTCCTGCTAATGAGTCCCCTGATAGTATTTGTTAAAAACACAGATTGTGAAATTTCTCCTCCAGAAATCTGTCATTTAAACAAATGATTCAAGAGATTCTCATCTTAAGGCAAGTTGGAAAAACAACTCTACTCCCTTTTCTAATCATCACCTTCTCCCTTTCTACTGATGCCTTCCCATCAGCCTACAGAGAACCTGTGCTTCTCATTTTGAAATCAGTAACATCACCACCAAAAAAAAAAAAAAAAAAAAAAAAACCACTCCAAACTATGTGTTCCCTCCTTACCATTGCACATCCCACTTCTTGATTTCCTTTTGTTGCCAAATATTTTCCTGCCCAACCACCTTTTACTCCTCAAACTTTCTGGAATCTTCGTAAAACAATTTTTTTTTTTCATCCTGGGCAATAGCCAACTACTTATGACTTTATCTACTCCACACTTTTGAAAATTTCTATGAGAAATTCCTTGGGTACTTTGACCACTTCTTTGTTTGAGGGACTCTTCTCTTTCTGCTGTATGTTCCTTGTACCTCTCTGGAGCACTTTTAATTTCTCTTCAAGCTCCTTTCTCTGCTTTCTCTTTAATGTTTATATTCTGGGGCTCAGTTCTAGCCATTATTTTCTTTGGATAATCCACACCTCCTAAACCATCTCATCCACTCTCATAATTTTAATGACTCTCTTTCTTGTGGATAACTCTCATATTGGTATATTAAGTCCACATCACTTTTCTGAGCTCCAGTTCCAAGTCTAACTCCTACTTGCCATATAATTTATTTCTTTGCAGGTATCATACACACCCAAAAACGAACTAGTTATTTTTCTGCTTTCTCCAAAATTTTTTGACTTTGCAAAGAGTAGCAGTACAACTTCTGTCTCAATCATGGGACATTTCCAACTGTTCCCAAGTACTTGACAATTGCATCTTCAAATTATCTCTAAAATTATATTATTAGGGAAGTATTTGGTAAATGTCAAAAAACATAAAGAAGATTGAGGAGAAAGGAGGCAAAGGAGAAGGAAGAGAAACAGGAAGATAAGAGGAAGAGAATGAAGAAGAAGTGGAAGTAGAGGAGGAGGAAGAGAAAGGGAAAGAAGAGGAGGAGGAAGAAGGGAGATATATAGAAGAAAAAAGATTCATAATCCTATATTTCAAATAATCTGTGCTAAGATGTTTGTGAATATTGTAGTTTCTCTCTATAAGTGTGGTGTGATAACATGCCTGTTCTAAAACTGGTCTTCATTTTTTAAAAATTTGTATATGGTCTTTATAACTCAATATATGATGAATAATCAATAGCCTTCTATAAGAGAATTGTATCTTATAAAAGCATCATATTTTATAATATGATAATATAATATTATTTTATAATTCTACCATAATGTGGTATAAAAGGCAATACTTATTCTGGTTGTTATTTTCTCCTGATGTAATTATTGTTAAAATGAGCTTTTTTTAAAAAAAATAGATTGTCCCTTGTAATAAATTCTATATGTAGAAGCATAGGTATGCTGAATTCTAAGTCCTTTGATATATTTGATATTAATATGACCTCTAGAAATAATGGAACTGATTACACACCCATAAGCAGATCATGAGAAGCTTCTGTTTCTCCTTAGTTTTTGTTTTATTTATCAGAATAAGAAATGCCTTATTTGATCGTTTGTTAGTTCTTCCTTTCCCGCCTTTGGGACTAACATCAAGAAGTATTTTGTGGGAGGCTGCGGTACATGTCCTCTGTAGATCAGCTTCGCCATCAGAGAAAGACACACTCTTTTAGAGACACTTGCTTTGGAATAGCTCCTGGTATATGATTTGGGTTAATTACTGTCATCATCCTTCAAACCCTTGGCATGGCTTCTGTTTGAATAAGCAAATTTAGCATTGGGGCCAAGCCAAAAAATTAATTCTTAATGTAGCTGGACATAAAATGCTATGAAATCCAACTGTTAAAAGGGAATTAACGCTTTCTAATTAGACATAACTAACAAAAGACCAATAATTTATTGGACACTATACAGAAGGGTATTGCTTTTCTAAACTAAAATGTTTTTCATTATTTTTCCACAAAAAAATACTGTATTTGGTTCTGGCTACTTTGTTGTCAATAACAGGTTTTGTTTGAGTCTTTTACAAGAACAAATTACTTAATGTTGGTATAGAAGTTTTTAAAATGTGTCTTTTTCTGCCCTTCAGAAAAACCTCAGAAAATTTGGCACAATACCCATCTATGTATTTTTGTATAAAAGATATAAAATTCACATATTGAAACCATTATGCCTGATTAGAGCACACAATTGCAAAGGATAGAGTATGTATGAGAAGATTGGGGATTAAGAAAGAGCGGCTGGAAAGCCAGGAGGGGGCAGTCTAGATACTAAGATTACATTCAGTTTTATTTTATTCAGAGTAGGTAGTACCAGAGAGTTAAGGAAGTAATTAAAATATACTATATAAATTTAGATAGAAAAAGAAAAATATGGAAATAGTTAAAGATACTTTAGCCCTGATTAGAAAATGGGACCAAAATTATTAATTAACTCATTCTTAAATTTTGAAGGGGGAAATTTTCAGACATTATTCCCTTTAATCCTCTTTCTTTTCCTTATTCCTAGAAGATAGTTAACAACATTTACCATGAACCTCTCCTCGAGGAAAACTCTTTGTATTTTATATCAATTGATCCCATTGGGGAGAGGCTTGAACTGTTGACAAGTTCCTTCCTGCTGTATCTTCCAATCCTGGTCCATGTTAGTTGTCCCTGTTCCATATTGGGAATAATCCAGTAATTCTGGACAGTAAAAAACTAGGCTAAAAAGTCAAGAAAGTTCTCTTCATGTAATTTTATTTATCAAAGAGTAGATTAAAAATAAAGGGAGAATAGAAAATAAAATGGAAAATAATAAACCATGGAGCCAAAAACTTATATTAAATTAAATTAAAACTGATGTCTTGAATAAAGATAAAAATATATTAAATAAAATATAATCAATTCATTATTTGTTTGAAATTTCTTGCTTGAAAAAATAAGAAAAATCAGCACTGGGTGAGGGGAGGAATTCAAGAAAATTTTTTTTTAATATTTATTTATTTATTTATTTATTTGGTGGATACAATATGTTTATTTTACTTTCCATGTGATGTTGAGGATCGAACCCAACACCCTTCGCTTGCCAGGGAAGCACGCTACCGGTTGAACCACATCCCCAGCCCAGGGAGGGATTTAAGAACTTGTAATAGAGTTTGGAACCAATTAGTTTTTATCATAGTCCTTAAAAGTTAAACTTGACTCTGGGTAATGTTAAGAATATGATGCACTGAAACTAATGTAATCTTCCCAATATAGTTTTCACTGAAAAGAAATTAGAAGTCAGTTTCAGAAGTCTGACTCCAGTTCGAGCCTCTGAAACTTAGAAATACATAGAAACCAATTTGTAAACAAATCTTTATTGGGATTCGTGTTCTTTGTTCAATGAAGAAAAGGGTAAATAGTTTCAAGAGTGGTTGACAGAACTTCAGGGGGTTCAGTTTTTATATAATGATCGACAATGAATTTTGTAAATAAGAGAATATTGATTTTAGAGGGAAGGTTTTGACTAACAGTGCAAAAATATTTATTGGTTTTTAAGTTTCAAGCTTTGTCAAGCTACTTACCGAGTACATGATGAGACTATATCTAGATGGAAACTTTATAATTTAGAGAATATATGAGCCCTAGCACACAACTTTCAGAGTCTCTTTCAACACTTCTACATTGTTTTTTTCTAGGACTTCCTTTAAAAGATGATCCTTGGGGCTAGGGTTGTGGCTCAGTGGTAGAGCGCTTGCCTAGCACATGTTAGGCACTGGGTTCGATCCTCAACACCACATAAAAATAAATAAATAAAGGTACTGTGTCCATCTACAACTAAAAAAATTATTTTTAAAAAATGATACTTAAATGAAAGATACTAAGTTATAACGCCCCAAAATATGAAATAAATGATGGATTAGAAGATTTTGTGGTATTCTTTCAGTTTCTAGCAATTTATTCGTCCATTTGACATATATTTATTAAGCACTGATTTATATGCTATTCAGTGTTCTAGTTGATGACAATACAATAATGAACACACACAAAAAACTTCCTGCCCTGATAAGACTTACAATGATAGACAGAAGCAAGAAAAAATAAATAAAAGTAAATCAGGACATTTTCCAGTGTGCTGAAGGTTAATAAGACTTATGAAAAAAATTAAAGTGGGAAGGAAGTGGGAAGTATTGTTATATGAAATAGGGTATCGAAGCAAGTTTTCATCGATGTTGAGCAAAAACCAAAAGAACATGGGTGAGGAAGCCATATGGGTATATGGGAAACTATGCTTTAAGCAGTGGAGCAGGAAGTGCAAGGGTATGAAGGTAGGGGCATGCGTGGGCTGTTTCAGGAACGGAGATTCTGTATTTCGGGAACAAAACACTGAGAGGTTCTGAGACCAGAAAGGCAGACAGGTCCAGGTCTCTGTACAGCTGTACAGTTCATTGTAAAAGATCTGGCATTTTCAGAAATGGAAATCCTCTGTAAATTTAAAGCAGAAGATTGATATGATCTGACTTATACTGGCAGAGGAAACAATCTGGATGGTACATTGCTAACAGCCTGTATGTTAGGGCAGGGATGGCAGCAGAAAATCCTGAAAGATGGCAATTATAATAATCCAGGTGAGAAATGATAGTGATTAGACAAAGCTGGCAGCTGTAAAATGAGGAATAGTGGCTGAATTCTGGATTTCTGGGTATATTTTTAAGGTAGGGCTGCTGGGATTGGATGATAGATTGAGTATCACAGAAGAGAGGTCAAGGATAACTATCCTATATATATTATTTTTCCTGAGCAACTGTAAGAAAGGCACTGTCATTCGCTGAGATCAAGAAAGTTGCATATGGGGCAAATTGTGTATGGTATGGGAAAATCAGAAATTCTTATTTGGATTTATAAGTTGGAGGTGTTATTTAGACATTAAAGGCAGGCTGAGAGCATCAGCTGGTCATCCAACTCTAAAGTTCAGAGAAGAGAACCAGACTAGAGATTTTTTTTTTTTTTTTAAATTGGAGGTGCTAGTGTATCGAAGGTATTTAAAGTCACGGGACTAGATGACAACCCCATAGATTGACAACACTAAGAGAGCCCATAAAGAGAATAGATTTCCTTGACCTATCCAGTCAGCTAAATCTGGGACATATGCAAAGCTCCAACCCGCCACATCTGCATTATACACACGTCCTTTGGCATATCCAATCCTTCTAAAAAACAATGTCATTCATCTGGGTCAAATTCTAGAAAATTCTGACCTACTGGATACTGCAATGCTTGCTTCCCTGGAACCTATCTCAATGCTCCCTATAACTCTAGTCACTTATTTTTTTAATCTCCTTGTTCCTATTATTTCATTTTTATCATTCAGCTTCCAGTTTGGGCAACTTCTGATGGAAATTTTAAGGGACAGAATTTATTAGGTTAATTTGCTTCAGTCATTGATCATTTTAGTTATGTACAAAACGCAAAAACAAAAACAAAGACAAATAAACCCATTTAAAATGTAATAAAATCTAATCATTGACAAAGTTATTTTATCCCTCCCATCTCTTTTCTCTCTTCTCTCTCTTCTTCCATGTTTTCTTCCCTTCTTCGCTTTATTCTTTGCTTTTGTTTTTAAAACAGGTTATTTGGGTCCTACATTTAGTCACTATTTTTAGGTCACATACTCTGGACCAATAATCATCCCAGACCACTGTGGAATTTTCATGTCCAAAGATTATCTTCACATTCGCATCATTATAGTGTATAAATGCTATGAAATGGGGATGGTTTTGACATCAGTATAAATTAAATTAGCTTTCTACTACCGGACTTTGGCTAGAAATAGCTGCAAGTCTAATGAGCATATGTTTCCCAAATGAAGTCACATCCATCTCACTTAAAAAATTAAACACATTCATCTAATTTAGAG